TGCAATAAAATGTTTTTCCTGTAGTCTTTTTTGCTCTGTACTCCTGAATATTTTTGAGCAACATATTTGTTGTTTATTTATGTATTATTTTGGTTAAGGTCATATTGTAGTGTGTTATTTTCTATTGTATCTACTTTACTTGCCAGAAGTGTAACTATGACTAAATGCTGAAAGACAACTTCTATCACATGAATTGAACCCCAAACCATCAGACATGTCCAACTAGTGGCCCTCTGGCCACAGATGGCCAGTGATAGCTATGAATGCAGACCAACTCAAAATCATAAACTCACCAAAAGAAACCATTATACATTTTTTTTTGTAACTTGGCACAGTTTTTGATTATAGACTTTGTAATGACACTTTCTAAGTGTCAAAAGGTGGAACATTCATGATGGAATCAAATTATAATAGTTCATAATAAAGATAATTTACCATTAAAGATTAAAGTTAGTGTGATACACAGAGGTATGGGGCCCCAAATATTAGAGCATTGTCCAGAGTATAAACTATCATTGAATACCAATGTAAACCATAATTTGGAGGAAATTTTGACAAATCTATTTTGAGTAAAGGGGAAAGGGCTGTTTAACCTTTTTGCCAGATACTGAGGATCAATGAAGTGACTGGACCAGTAAAGGATGTGGAGAAGGTCAAATGTTAAAGGTGGAAGGATTCTGTAGTGGTCATGAGTGCACTATGAGCAAAGGGGCAGAGTATGGACAAACCACATATTCTAGCATGTGGGAAGACTAACCTGGTCGCAATAAAGTGGCCTCACACAATAAAGTGTGGGGCATTGAAAAGCAGTAGCAGAAGTAACATATAGTACCGTAACACAGGAGTCAGAATCTTGGTTCTAAGCCAGCGCTTCTTAACCTTTCTAATGCTGTGACCCTCCAATACAATTCATGTTGTATCATGTTGTGATGACCTAAGCCATAAAATTATTTATGTTGCTACTTCAGTAATTTTGCTACTATTATGAATTGTGATGTAAATATCTGATATGCAGATGTTTGATATGTGACCCCTATTGGGGTTACAATCCACAATTGAGAACCTCTGCTCTAAAAGAATGAAGAACAGTAGAGTGATCTCAAAATATTACATTTGTGACATTCTATTGCAGTGGTATTTTTTTTTCGGCATATGTTACAGGACATCTATAGATATTTCACTCAGCAGAGTAGTAGGAACTAGATCTTGGAGAACATGGTCTAGCTAAATGTCAGTTCATTTGAAAAATTCTATAATGTTGGTGTATTTCTTGGCATAAATTGCTAGCAAAGGGGAGAAAGGCTGGGGTTCTTTGCCAGAGGAGTTGACCACTTCCATTTTGGTTGGCTGGTAGCTGTATTTACGAGTTCCCTTTCTTCTGTTTGGTATAATATGCCTTTTACGTTCTGAGGGAAAACATAACTCTGATTACATCTGGCAGAGTCCATGAGAAAAAAAATACAGCATAACGCTGAGGCGCCACTCTGTGTTCTCAGTCAAGTGTGAGTCCGCCTTAATCACATAAAGTTTTTTTTTAATGTCTTTTCAACAGAGTACTGCAAACAGCCTGCTGTGTTTCAGCTTATTATGAGAACTGACAACCTCCTAAAACAGAAGAATGCGTTCTTGACTTACATTACGCCCATTCCACTGAGGAAAAAAAAAAAAAGGACTAATACTGGAGCCAATGTAGGCACACTGATTAAAAATGGAAAAAGTGAATTGGACAAAAAAAAAATAGAGTTTTTTTTTCTAACCTATACATCATTTAGTTAAAACCTGATGAAATTAAGACAAATCAAAGCCTTCAACTTCAGGTCTGTGGCTTGACCACTTTTAACTCCATTGGGGAATGGTAGTGGCCTCAGTGAGAATGAGGTCAGGCTAATCTAGGCCAAAGGAACCTTCAGACTTAGTTTTAACCCTACAATAAACATAGAAAGTGAAAAACAACATGGGTGCTTTCAGTTGCTGCTGCTTCATTTCGAAGAACTAAATTATTTTATAGATCCCATTTGCCTGCAAATTTCATGATTTCCTTGTTTTTAATTGCTGAGTAGTATTCCATTGTCTAAATGGACCACAATTTCTATATCCATTCCTCCATCAATGGACATCTGAGTTGTTTCCAGGTTCTGGCTATTACGAATAAAGCTGCTACAAACATGGTTGAGCAAATGTCCTTGTTGTGTACTTGAGCATCTTTTGGATATATGCCTAGGAGTGGTATAGCTGGATCTTAAGGAAGCACTATTCCTAGTTGTCTGAGAAGGTGCCAGATTGATTTCCAAAGGGGTTGTACAAGTTTACATTCCCACCAGCAATGGAGGAGGGTTCCTTTTTTCTCTACAACCTCTCCAGCATGTGTTGTCACTTGAGTTTTTGATCTTAGCCATTCTGATGGGTGTAAGGTGAAATCTCAGGGTCGTTTTGATTTTCATCTCTCTGATGGCTAAGGATGTTGAACATGTCTTTAAGTGTTTCTCTGCCATTCGATATTCCTCTACAGAGAATTCTCTGTTTAGCTCCATACCCCATTTTTTAATTGGATTGCTTGATTTATTGCTTTTTAACTTTATGGGATCTAGAAAAGATCATCCTGAGTGAGGTATCCCAGAAGCAGAAAGACACACATGGTATATACTCACTTATAAGTGGGTACTAGACCTATATGATAGGATAAACCTACTAAAATCTGTACACCTAAAGAATATTAAACAAGAAAGAGGACCCCAGGTAAGATGATCAATTCTCACTTAGAAAGACAAATGGGATGGACCTTGGAAGTAGGAGAAAACAAGTCACAGGCCAGGAGCCTACCACAGAGGGTCTCTGAAAGACTCTACCTAGCAGTGTATCAAAGCAGATGCTGAGACTCATAACCAAACCTTGGGCAGGGAATCATATGAAAGAAGGGGGAGTTAGTATGACCTGGAGAGGACAGGACCTCCACAAGGACCTAATATATCTGGGCACAGGGGTCTTTTATGAGACTGTATTTCCAACCAAGGACCATGTATGGATATAACCTAGAACCCCTGCTCGGATGTAGCTCATGGCAGCTCGGACTCCAAGTGGGTACCCTAGTAAGGGGAACAGGGACTATTTCTGACATGGATTCAATGGCTGGTTTTTTAACCTCCCCCTGCGCCTGAGGGAGGAGCAGCCTTGCTAGGGCACAGAGATGGACATTGCAGCCAGGCCTGAAGATACTTGATAAGCTAGGGTCAGATGGAAGGGGAGGAGGACCTCCGCTATCTCTGGACTTGAAAAGGAGCAGGGAGGAGATGAGGGAGGGAGGGTGGGGTTGGGAGGGAATGAGGGAGTGGGCTACAGCTGGGATACAAAGTTAATAAACTGTAACTAATATTTAAAAATTAAAAAAAATAGTAATGCAAAGAGAACTAAACTAGATAAACTGTGAGTTCCTTTTTTTTAAATTTTCAATAAGTTACTCAGTGGCTTTGGTTTTCAAATTTCCACAGATGCAAAAATGAAAATGTTCTTAAAATCATTTAGTTTGGGGAAATGTAAAGTAATATAGACATGCATAGGATTTATCCTCCTCGCTGCTGAAGTAGATGTGAGTCCAGTAGCATGACTCTCCAGAAGAGAATACTTCTCTTCTTTCAAAGGCTTCATGCATTCCTTTCACGTACCTCTGTTGTTTAGCATTTTTGTCACTGTGACAAGTACCCAAAAGAAATATTTAAAAAGGAAGGAAGATTTACTTTGGCCCGTGCTTTGGAAGGTTTCAGTGCCATGTCAGCTACTCTGGGTGCTTCAAGTGTGTGGTGGAGTAGGATACTGTAGTGGAAGGGCATTGTAGAGGCAAGTCATTCACCAAGAAAGAGCGAGACAGGGTGGGGTGTCCTAGTGACCTTTTCCACCATGAAGGTCTCATAGTCTGGTTTCTACCACTTCCTAGTAATGTCACACTACTATATATCCTTCAAAGGCCTAATCTACAGATGAAGTCAAAGTTCTCATGAGCTACCCTCAGAGGGTAGATGCACTAGCCTGCGACCAAACATCAAACAAGGTCTTTGCAGAACATTTCACACACAAAGCTTAGCAGTCCTACACTGATCAACGTGGCTCAGAATCGTTTGAGCAGAAGTACAATAAAGTCTTCAGTATGACTATTGTAAAGAGCTCATGATTACTACGGGGGGCTCATGACTATTGTAAGGGGCAATAGTCTGTACTAGACTATATTTTATATAACCTCAAGAATGAGGCCTCGACCAGCAAGCACCATTTAAGTAGGCATAAATCCTCAATGAAACAAATACACAGTGGACTGAAGAACTAGTGGTGGGCTGGTTCTGTGGCTAAGAGGACTTAGTGCTTTCATAGCGAACCAGGGTTTATGTCTCAGCACACACAGGTTATCTCACAACCACATGTAACTTCAGTTCTAGGAGATCTGACACCCTATTTTGGATTTCATGGGCTCCCACATGAAACAGCACCCATCTCACCACCTCAGCAAGCCCCTCCTTCCTCTATTCCCAGCTCTATTAGTGATCAAAACATGTGGGTAAGGGTCTGAAGAGCACCCCTAGGATGTGTTTTAAGGTACAATGATTAAATTTTACCAGTAAGAAACTTCAGCTCCTTGCACCATATCTTAGTAATGTGTATAAAGTGAAGATTCTGTTTCATTTTGGATAGAAAAATGACCCTTAAAAAACAAAAACAAAAAAAAAAAAACCCTTCACTTACCCCTTCAGTAACAAACTACCTAGAATTAGACCCCTCAATATTTCCCTTTTATATTTTAGTCTACTTTATACACTATTAAGTATATTTTCTTTGATTTTAATGTAGTCAATGATTTGGTCAGCTGAGCGTCCATGCTATGATCCTAAGAAGCAAAAAAGATAGCATTTGTTCTAAGAAAAACGCCTCCAGGAGGCAAGGTTTGCTGAGGGGTGGTGGTTGCAGGATGAAAAAGAGGTGGCACATCAGACACTCACCTACGTTTCTATGATCAGGTAAAAGGCCAGGCCTGAAAGTGCACATCAACACCACCAGCGACTCCATCCTCCTGAAGTTCCTGCGTCCAAATCCAAACACCAAGCTGGAAGGTTTTCTCCTGGGATATGGCAGCAATGTGTCTCCAAACCAGTACTTCCCTCTTCCCACAGAAGGAAAATTCACGGAGGCTGTAGTCGGTAAGATGTTTGGGGACCAAACTCAGGGAGAAGGGTGGGTGGCAAGAGGTAACAACTGTGACAAGATGCCCAAATGTGGAAGATGAGCAACATCTCTTCGACATCCTTGGCTGAGCCCAACGTGGCAATACAAACCACCTTTGTAACTCATGCAACCCAGAGAACAGTTCTTGATGGGGAAGCTTTTTATTGCATGAAGGAATGATTGTCTTAACTGCTGTTGAACCTGTACTCCCTTCCCACCTAACTGAATACAGAAGGGAAAAAAATAGCTGAGCTGCTGGGTTTAGCGTTTATGTCATTGTTTACAGGGACTTATATGGTAGAAGATGACAGATATGGAGTTTGGATTATCTTTACATAAGATGTTGTCCTTGGAAAGAAAGGAAAACACATTACAATTTAAATTTTCAGTTATCTCAGACAAGGAGATTAAAGGTCACTATGGGTTATAGGATGATGCACTTCTTTGAAAATATTCGAATGATATAAAATTAGAGTTTCAGGATGTGAGCCTTCCTGTTGCTTTCTCTGTGGAAAGAAAAATGTAAATAAAATCCTTTTAAAGGATTAAATGCTTTGAAAAGGATGATTCATTGTGAGAAATTTGAAAGACTAGGATGAGATTTGCATTCTTTTCTCCCTGCTAAGAGGTTGCTTAAGAGGCTGTCTCTGAACTTTTTGGAGTTTAATTCCACATGTTAAGCACATTATATAGGCTCTTGTGTTTGTGCATGTGTAGCGAGAATGCCAAGATGAACTGATTCTGTCCTTTAGCCTGTTGCTTCTCCTAGAGTGGTCTCTGCCGCTCCAAATGCCAGTCAGGAGATAATATTATTAATTAGTGAGTAACTAAAGATAATGTCGTTAATTAGTGAATAAACTGCTTTAACACAAGAAAACCACTTTTTAAATTTAAATTTAAATTCTTTTACAATTTATTTATCTTATATCCCAATTATATCTGCGCCCCTCATTTCTTCCTGGTCCCACCTCCCTCTCTCTTTTCCCCTATCCCTTTCCCCTAGTCCACTGAAAAGGGACGTTCTCCTCCCCTGCCATCTGATCCTAGCTTATCAGGTCTCATCAGGACTGCCTGTATCCTCTTCCTCTGTGGCCTGGCAAGGCTCAGGGAAGACTAATTGCCCTTCCCTGCTCTTAGCATTTGGTAGTTGCCTATCATTCTTTGTTAAGGGATGGGATACTGTGAAATTTCCCATTTCTGCATCAGAACGTCTATTGGTCGTGTCCTTGTTTAGGCAGCCAGACTTTGGATCTGATATCATAGATCATGTAAAAGAGACAGGATGTCAGTAGAATTATCAGAACTGTTTACACAACATTCAACCTTGGTATTAGCAAAGGTGCTCCCTAAGCAGGGGTGAGGATATCCAAATTCATGTGGCTTTATAGAATAACATCTTCTGTTCTTCTGAATGAAGAACAAACATTCCCTGGGCTGTGCCATTTAAAGCATTCTCAGGATATTTGTTAGAGTTTCAACATGTCAAAAATGCACTCTAGTCCTATAGATGGTATAAAAATGGAGGCTAATAACACTATCAAGGGAAAACAGCCCATGCTGTAACACAAGTGTATTAGCAGAGTGATTTAGAGCTTTTAACCTGTCACTTCCACTCAAGGAAATCCTAAAGTATTCTGCCAGTCTAACCCAGGAGTAACTAAGGCTGCAGAGCCATTGATGCTCTTAGAAGATGCCCAACATCTTTCTGGCCTCACGACCCATTCAGGAGCAAAAAAGGTTAGGCTGAGCTCTATATGAAAGCTTACACAAACTCTAGAAGGGCTATTGAGGAGTATTACCCTCTAGATAAGCTGCATCAGCTGGCAAAGCTTCCTGATGGATATACTGTGGGATATGCCTACCACATTCCACCTTCCCAGAGGACACAGTCTCCAAGAATAAGGAAGAGAATACCTAGTTCCCAGAGATTTAACTGCAGACTGTGTGGTCTGATTTGCACTGAATGAACACCACCAAATATTTGTGGCATAGGATATAAAAGACTCAATGCTATTCAGGTTTGAAGAGGTTTGTTCATTAAACTCTGTTATGAGGCCAATCAGTACCTATAACATTCAGGGGAGTTCACAGACAAGTTACTGTTTTGAGGACCCTGTGGGACAGAGATGCTGGAACTCCTAGGAGGCTATTCCATGAGGCATTCTCAAAACTCTTTCCCCCTAGATCAATCTGTGTGTGTTTTTTAAATTAATCCTTTTCATTTCTAATATTCTATTAAAAGCAGAAAAAAATTGTTCTACATTTTTTCTTTTTTTATATTTTGTACTTTAAAATTTATTTAACAGAATTACATCATTTTCTCCCTCTTTTCTTTCCCTTCCTAGTTCCTTTCCCTTGAATCCCTCATACCATCCCACTCTCCAGTTGATAGCCTCTTTTGCCTTGATCTTATTCGTTACTTGTGTGTGTGTGTGTGTGTGTGTGTGTGTGTGTACAAATGTATATAAATAGAACCTGCTGACTTTGTTTTTGTTTTTTGAGTGTATATGGTTTCAAGGCTGACCACGCTGCATTGTACTCATTTTATTTTATTAGGTCTTGGAGTGTTTTTATGTGTTTTGATCATATTTACTCCCCCTTCAACCATTCCCAAATCCAACTCCCTTCCCTATCCATCCAACTTTATGTCTTTTTTTTTTTTTTAATCTTTCAAGTCTCATTCTTGCTGTCCAAATATCCTTGGCTCTGTAGTCCTCCACTGGAGTCTGGTCAACTTGCTAGGAGCTACAGTCTCAGAGAAAATCGTCTCTTCTTCTCCCAGCAGCTAACAATTACTAATATTTCCACAACTGGGAGTAGGAGTGTGTGCCCAACTACCTGTTCATGCTGTGATTCACTTAGGACTCACCTGAGGTTGCACAGGTTTTGTGTGTGCTGTTGCACCTGCTGTGAGTTCCAATGTTCAGCTTCCCTCCTGTGTATAAAAGACAGTGCCCCTTTGAACATAATCCCACCTGTGGCTTTTACTCTTTCCAGTCCTTCTTTCATCTCTTTTTTAAAGGTCGATTGTATTTTTAATTGCACACACATGAGAGAGAGTGTGTGTGTCTATACGCATATGAGTGTGGATGTCTGCAGAGGCCAGAAGAGAGTCTCAGATCTTGTGGAGCTGAAGTAACAGGCAGATGTGAGCCACCTAACCTGCTGGGAACGGAACTGAGCTCTCCCAGTCTTCTGCAAGAGAAGCTGGTGTTCTCAACTGCTGAGCCATCTCTCCAGCCCTCATTTGTCACATTTCTTTATATCTATGCGCTTTGCTGTTTGTTCTATCACTTTAGAATAGACTCATGATCTACATTAAGTGATCTTCTTCGGTCCATCAGATTGACTGCGCTTGTATTAATTGTCCCTCGTCCATTAGACACTCACTATGTATTAGCTTTGTGTTGCTGTAACAAGTTAACACAAACTTGGAGGATTAAACCATTTTAAATTTCCCAGCTTATAGTTGTGGGTCAGAAGGCCAGGTGGGTCTTAGTGGGTTAAAATCAAGGAACTATGTTCTTGTCTAGCGGCTGAGAGGAGAGTGTGGTTTCTGGCCCTTTTCCAGATTCACGTTCCTTTCAGCTTCTGCATTCCTCTTCTGTGTTAAAGTCGACAACAGTGGACCAAGCTGTCATAACACATAGAGTCGCCCCTTCCACTTAAGAAAAATGATTCTACTGAGCCCATCTGTATAATTCTGGACTCTGTCCCTGTTTTAGGTTAGCCTATTAGCAACCTTAGTTCTTTCTGCAAAGTAAATTTCCTTTGTTGTGTAACCTCACACAGGTTCTGGGGCTTAGGATGGCAATCTTTGGGGCCCATTATCCTGTCACAAGCTTCTTTCTGTTGCCAGGTTCCTATACGTTCATTCTCTGTTCTGTTCATTAGCAGCAGGTCTATTTTTCACAGATATGCTGTGAGCAGGTGATTTCATGATTGTAAAGTGATGAGCTGAAATCCCTTGAGAGTAAAGGAGCAAGGGAATTTTATTTCTTCGTGCAAAAAAGCATCTTTTATAGCTCCTACTTGACCCTTTGTAATAGAATAGTAAGTTTCTTTTTCCAGTTCACTGGACTTTGGCCAAACATAATAAACTATTTTTATTTTCAAAACAAGTGCTATTATACCACATTGCCTGACTTACTTCAGTAGATAGCCAATGTGTTTACTATCATATCTCACTTGTGACATGAGAAATTTTTTTTTCTTCACAAATATTCAAGTTAATATTTGGTTCTGTATGGATTGCTACTCTTACTAATCACTGACAAAATTTTCTATATTTATTTTCATATCTTTAAAAATATTTATTTTTTACATCCCAATTGAACCTCCTTCTTCTTCTCTTCCCAGCCCCACCCTCCTACCCTTTTTTCTCTTCCCCTCCTCTCTTTCTCCTTTGAAAAGGGGACTGTCTCCCCCATACCAATCCACCCCAAAACATCAAGTCACATCAGGAATAAACACATTCTCTTCTACTGCGGCCAGACAAGGCAGATCAGTTAGGGGAAAGTGATCCTAAAGCAGGCAACAGAGTTCATGTCAGAGACAGCCCAAGCTCCACCTGCTAGGGGACTCACATGAAGACCAAGCTGCTCATCAGTTCCATATGTGTCGGAGGGCCTAAGTCCAGTCCATGCATGGTCTTTGGTTGGTGCTTCAGTCTCTGTGAGGCCCCATAGTTCTTGGTTAGTTGACTCTGTTGGTCCTCTTGGGAAGTTCTTGTCCCATTCAGGTTCCTCTATTCTTCCCTGCACTCTTGCACAAGACTCTCCGAGTTCCACCAAATGTTTGGCTGTGTCTTAGCATATGTTTTGATCCACTGCTGGATGGAGCTTCTCAGAAGATGGCTATGCTAGGCTCCTGTCTGCAAGCATAGCAGAATATCATAAATAGTGTCAGGGGTTGGGTTTCTCCTATGGGGTGGGCCTCAGGTTGGGCCAGTCATTGTTTGGCCATTTCCTTAGTC